GGCACAGTCCTGATGTTACCAAACTACACAGCAGGCCATTAATTCAAGTCCATTGAAAGTCCCAAGGTCAGCAGAGCATGGCAGGCTGCTGAACAACAACATGGCTACATGCAGGGTTTAAGCGTGCCATAAGCTAGAGACCATTCCCAAAGCTGCTGCTTATATACAGGAGGCAGACCACATACCCAAAGGCAGTTACTCAGCTGCTCACAGTAGATTCCACCATGGAATTGATTGCCAGTCTCATAATGGGGAATACTACATCCAGTTGTCCAGCCACTGAACCAGGCCCGGCCAAGTTGACACACAACCTTAACTATCACAATGAGGTAAAAAGAAAACTCACTACCATGTCCTGAGTTCCCTTACAAGCCTGCCTCTTTCCACCTTTCAGAGCCTTCTTATGTTTGTTTTAGATATTATGTCTAGGGTTTTTAGTCATCCTTGGTGGGAGAAACAGGCAAGATATGTCTACTTCATCTTCCCAGAAGCAGAATCTACCCAGTGACTCATCTATCTCTTAAATCGTTTTTAATCTACAGTCTTCCTCTCCCTTTCCCTCCCTCCTTATATTTCTTTTCTTTATTTTTTTCTTATTGTGCTTTGGGTGCAAATTTACGTAGCAAATTTGTCTTACATTCAACAGTTCATGCACATCTGGTTTCATGGCCCCGATTACTGTCCCCAACTGTAAAAACTCTCCCCCCGTCTCCTCCCCATGCCCCCCCTCCCTGTGCCTCTCTCATCCGTGCATTGCTGTCTGTCCAGCTATGTGACAGCTGCCCCTGTGGTGTCTCATGCCTCTCTCCTTGCATTCCATTGGTTGAAAAAACAGCATCATTTGTCCTGAGGATTGCCCCTTCACCCACATCTTACTGATTGCACGCTCATGTATCATTATGTCCCTCTGTCCCCTGTATTTTCTTAAAACAACAGCAGCAACAAAAACAACCTTTTTATTGTGATTTGGGTGAAAGTTTACAGAGCAAAACAGTTTTCCATTCAACAATTCATGCACCTTTTGTTTCATGTCATTAATTGAAATCCCCTCCATGTCACGCCCCCTGTATTTTCTGTATACATCATGGGTAGAGTTAGAGGCTTGATCAGATCTAGGTTTGATTTTTGCCAAGAATAGTTTCTGGGTGGCATTGAGGTCTTTTGCCAGGAGGCCCATGCTGCCTGGCTGTCTGTGTGCCATCAGCAGCTCTCACTGGTCCTTGCATAGGTTCATTAACTTATTAGAGTTCGGACAGCTTTCAAATGTATAAGATGCCAACCTCAATTACAGTTTCAAAGATGAAATGTTAAAGTGTGAGATATTATTTTTTTCATCTAGCAGACAAAAATCAGAGAGTGTTGGCAGATGTCTTAACCAATACAGATGTTGGCAAGAGTGCAGGAGACAGGCAGCTTCACCATGGCACTGGTTTTGACTACAGCTAGCAAACTGGCAAATGCAGACACACTTTGCCCCAGCAATTCGACTTCCAGAAATTTATCCTGTGGAAACATGCACAGGAGGGCAGAATGAATACTCAAGGTTATTTACTACAGCATTGTTTGCATTAGCAACAGTTGAAAACTGCCACATTGTCCTTCCCTGCAAAAAGGGCGCGGGGGAGGCATCTCCGACCTCCTCTAACTTCACAAAGGGGGAGAAGGTTCAAGACAACAGCCCAAAGCTGATTCCTATGAGGCCAAGGTCAGAAATGCCGCCACTTGTACCTCCCACGTAAGCTCTCTACCTCTCTGCTGGATTCGATAATTCATTTCAGTGGCCACACAGAGCTCACACAATTAAGGCTTTATTAGGGAAGTAACAGGTTACAAATTCAAGACCAGAAACAAGGCAGGATACAGTTCTTCAATCAGGACAGCTGCTTCTCACCCTGCAGCACACTTCTCTCAGGCCTCAGCCTCTCCCCTGCTTGGGCCAGTGTTAACAAAGCTCTTTTAATTCTGCCAATAGGTGCCCAAAGAGGCCTCTCATTCCCCAGCAAGCCTCCTGTCTGAAGAGCAAGAGCAAGAAGCTCCAT